AACAAGAGTCAAGAGCATTGGCAGCAGCGACGGCAACAGCGGCAGCAGTGCGAGTATTCTGTATAAACCATAACCATCAGCAGCAGCAGCAGCAGCAGCAACAACAACAACAACAACAACAACAACAACACAAGCACCAGCGCAGCAGCAGCCGCCGAAGCCCACAGCACTACAGCCGCGAGGACGACGACGACGACGACAAGAACAAGAACGATGCTGATGGTAGCCGCAAGGCAAGGAACACAAAACACACACACACACACACAAATTTGGTGCTACACTAGCTACGAGTACTGCGGCAAAATGTGACCTGCAAGCAGGTCGCAGGTAATAGCATCTGATAGCATCTAGGAATATACAAGAATCGAAAAGTGTGGAAGTGGGCGACAAAAACAGAACCGGCACAGTGATCCCAACATGTGGCGCATGGAAGTTAACAACGACAGCCGCGCAAATAAGGGCGACGAAGTCTGAAAAGATCTAAACACCATGACAACAGTTGCGATTGACCGAAAGGTTTAAAAGGTCCGGATGTGCAGCTTGCACCGGCATCCATGGACATGCATGAGTGTCTGCTCTCGATGAGGGCAAGGCACCATGAGAAGGAACAACATCAACGATCATCACATCCATCATCATCGCCGCCACCAGCATCAGCATCTAGAGCTGCCGTTGTGTGGCAATGAAGAGGAGCGGTACAGAGGCCAAATAGGCTGCGATGGATATGGGCGATCACAACACTGACAAAAGGTTCTTTACATGTCTGTGTCCGGCCTTGCAAGGCTTGGCAAATTACCAGGGCGAATCCCAGCTTGAGGAGGCACAGCAGCACCTCTGAAGGAAAGCTCATGCACGTAGTTTTCAGCTCCAATACGGAATCATCCCTAGGCCCTAGGGCTCCTTTTCAAGGCTAAGCCTCTAGGTGCTGAACCAAACCTGGTGTCGTGTCACGTGCGGCTTAAGCTTCAAGGAATGATGTTCGAGCTGCGCTTAGCGTGCTTGCGTGCTGGGATGCTGGACCTTTGGTTCCCTGCCTGGTTGCATGCAGTCGGATGCAGTGCAGACTCCAGGTGATACGTTCTCAAGGATGGGTTCAAAGCTTCCTGTTTCCTTGTGGTTTGTTGCTATCTTGATTGAGGCACACTTCTGAACGACCGAACCTGTCCTGCTGCCAAGGCAAATTCCTGCAGATGCTGGCTAGGGGCCATGGACCAGAAAAGCGCTCCCATGCTAGCCACACAAGTTCCAACCAGAAGCCGGAGTTGCCGGAACATATTTACCTGAGCCGAGTATGTGGATCGGCGTATGCAGCAGCAAGCAAGAGAACATGTCGAGAGAAACATGTGCATCCCACCAGAGCCCAGAAGCCCAGTTGGGAGCGGCACTTAGGAAGGGTTTCATCTTGAAGCAAGTGCACAAAATACCCCCCGATAGAGTTATTCCTGTTATCTTGTCGTGATTCTCCATGTCTATTTGCCTTAGTTGTCAACACCACGGCTTTTCATAACATGACCGAGCACCCCATCAAAAACAGCACTGCTGCTGTCGCTATCCATCATCGCGGTAGCATTATCTGTAGAAGCCCTGGTCCTATCGGCCCTCTAAACAGGTAGAGGCCGATCCAAGCTGCCGTCTTGACAATGCGCAGCGTCCGCACAATCCGTATCAGCTTCAGCACACGGATGCTGCTGGCACTTTCCTAGACTGTCGGGGCTCTTTGCTGGAAGAATGCGACGCAGCTGGTTGGTACTCCTTCGCGCAGTAGAACGACAGGCAAACCATGCTGAAATGAGCCACGACACGCTGTCTCCACCGATAAACAACCTGCAATCACTACTGGGTCGTTTTTGCGTGCTTTGTGGAAGCTACTCTAACCTGAGGGTTCTTCCTGCAATGCGAGGTGTTGATCCTGCTCTACTTCAGTCAATCAACTGAAAACTATGTCGCATGCGACGGCAACGGTCAAGCAACAGCATGACGAATTCTGCGGAGGGTGTGCTCGATAACACTATTATCTGAGCGATTTCGGGTAAAAGCATGCACATGCGCATGCGTCATGCTCCAGTTCGGCGCAGGTGCGGGGTTTTGGCATATTTCGAACAACACTGGCTACCAGCACAATATCTGCTTGCGGCTCAGGGGCGAGGGTAATATGATCAACTCGAAGGCATGCACCATCACGAGCAGAGCGTCGAAGATGTTCATGAACATCACCTGATAAGGAATGCCTCTCTTCTGCTCTGTGTCTGTCTGGGAACCCCTGACTATGCAGAGGTTGACGGTGCCCGTGATTTCCCTGACCTTGGTCTCGCACTCCTTAACCTGGGGAGCTGCGGTCCTCTCGCGCTGTGCGGACAGTCTGATTGGAGGGGCCCAAGGACACGGGAGAGGTGAGCTGGAGTGATCTGGATGAAGAAAACCCACGCCCTCTTGAGGTCTTCTGGGCAAAGGCGGCCGCTGGGCCCGGCCTCGGTCCCAGCTTCTCGCTACTTGAGGGGGCTCTAGTCTCTACTGCGTCCAGCGCACGTCGGCGTCAAACTTCCAGGGCTTGTCCCCCGCTGCACAGAAAACTTCCGGTGATATTTCCCCGTTACAAATTTAACTCCTCAAGGCCTCTCCCGCCTGCATCCCGAACCAACCCGAACCTGAGTCTCTCTCTCTCTCTCTCTCCCTCTCTTTCTTTCATTGGGCGTAGGGGACGAGTAAAGTCTCTCTCTCTCTCTCTCTGTGATTCTGTTATTGGGCTGCCGCTGCCACGATTCGAAGGCACGCGACCAGTTGGACTCTGCGGAAAGGCTGCAACAGACTACCCACAGCACACCCACATGCACACGCAGCCAGCTTGGATCTGCAGCTGGCGTCATCTCGTGCATTCGTTCAGGCTCCCGTGGCTTGGCTTGGCGGGATAGGCTGACCATCCCCGAACTGCAATCGTATATTGCAGAAGTCGTGTTGCTTTTGCACTAGTATATTGCAGAAGTCGTGTTGCTTTTGCACTAGGTTTACACGCTGCTTTCGGGACGCGAGACTCCTTCAATCACTGCATATCACTGTGCAGGGCTAGATTGCGAGCTGCGTCACTCCCTCAATGGGATCGTAATACCACTCCTTGCGCAGAATGATGACGCGAGCCAGAACATCAAGGATATAAATGATGAAGAACAGAATGTCTGCGACCTTACAGGGCTGCCGAAATTATGCTGGTATTTTTGCTGCTGCTACCTTGCTAATTTATGTTGGACAGTAGATCAACCGGTGGTCAACGTCAGGCTTCGCCGCGATGCGGCGGAATAGCTCAGGACTCGGTGGCTGTGTCGAAACACATCTCAAACGGATTTTCTCCCCAAGCAACACGGCAATCCCAGAAGTTTCCCAGTTGAGCTGCCGGCTACCCTGCCTCGAAAACAGATTCAGGGATGGCTGGCAGAGACGCAGATAGCTGTAGCTCATAGTCCGCCCTGTCTCCAGCCAACTGCGCCATCGTGATCATGAAGCCGAGGTTAATAACCTGAGATGCACGAGACAATCATTTGCACTACCTACTACTGACCCACTGGCGAAAACCGAGGAACCACCACGAGACCCATGTAGGCATCCAAAGAATTCTTGATGAAGGCCTTGGCGGGAGGATCCTTCTCCGTCAAGTCGTCGTTCATGGCACGTGCCAAAGCCTTCGACCGCTTCCCATAGCTCCCCGACACCGAGGCGTTGCTGGGGCTGGCAGCAGGCGGCGTAGCTTCTGACTTCAAACCTTCATATGCATCACTTATATCACTGAGCCCAGTCACCCGAACTTCCCGGACTTGGGCCAAGCTTGAACTCTGCATGTCATCCGAAGCCATCGGAGCGGCGACGGAAAAGTCTGTCCTTCGCTCACGATCATCCGAAGCCATCGGAGCGGCGACGGATAAGTCTGTCCTTCGCTCACGAAACGGTTGCCCGATATCAGGCCGGGCGATGGACAGAAGCAGATCCCGGATGGCGGTTTCCTGCTCTTGAAACTTCCGGTCGAGCACACCGAGAAACCACAGCTGCTCCTCCTCTTGGATACCACTCTTCACCATGTTGAGTCTGCTCTCCGGCAGGCCTAAAGTGGCCGGCGCAGCATTCAAGCTCGATTGGAGAGCTGTGGACCCTACACTGCCTACACGCTACAAATTGCCATACTTTTCTAGCTCGTAAATCCATGACGAACCTCTTTTATACAAATTATGCTTCTTCGAGATGCTCCGAGCCTGAGAACCTATCAAAAAAAAACAGCGGGAGTACAACATGCAGCGGCATGCAACACATTCCTACACACTGACAATCTCTTCCTTTCTGCGCAGAGGAGGGCCTACCCCTCGCGAGTGCGCACCAGGAGGAAGGTGACCAGACACTCCCGTCTTTCTTGCTTGCTTGCTTGCGAAACTTGTGGGGTTCAAGGCATTCAAGGCTTATCCCCCATGCAAAAGCAAAGCTTCGGCAGGGCTTTTCATTGTGGTCATCACCCCAGTATGTCACCATTGCTTCACAGCCCCATTCGCTCGCTTGCAAAGTGGTTCAATGTGGTATAACATGATCGCAGGATCATTTTGCGGCTTCTCCTTGCCCAGAGGTTCGGAATTAGCAACTGGTTTGCCCGAGGACAACATGAGCTCAGGTTCAGGTACGGACGCGACAAGCATCGCACCTCTGCGAAAATTTTCCAAAATCTGGAAGCGGCTGCTTTCAGTCTTCAAGCGGTTCCAGCCATTTTCAAGCACCGACGGCAGGGGGCCTTGAAATTTCGAGTCACGCGTCTGCACAATACTGATGGCCAAACCTGGCCTGCTTTCGCTGAATGTCCGCTGGGACGAAAGCTTGGTCCACACACAGATGATGCGGTGGGGTCACATTTCCGAGTCTACTTGCCGGCCACTTCGTACCCCACATATATATATATATATATATGTGTGTGTGTGTGTGTGTGTATGTGTGTGTGTGCACGCACATCTAGTAGTCATACATTGCAGAATTTGTATAGTGTATGTGCGTCCAGTCCTAAACCTTGCCTGCTACCTTTGTCGCTGTTGGCTAGACCGCAAAGTAGTTAAGCACACTGCCGTCTTTTAAATGCCGTCGCAGGCGAGACTGCTCATGTTACGAACGTCCGACGTTGGCTTGGCCAAAAGTCGATCAATGCTGCCTCTCCTACAGAGATGCGCACAAAACTCACTACCCATCAGCGGCCGCCGTCGGTCTTGCTGCCACTCTTTCTGGTCAGGCCTACTAGGGTCGGTAGCAGTGCTTTCCTCGGCTCATCAAGTGAGTGGGGTTAACAGCTGAGAGTTGTTGGGACACAACCAAAAAATCGTGCAAATGGATAATCGTACTGATTCCGAAACATGTAGCTCTGCAGGAACACTTGCGCAGAACAAATGGCGGACTCCGCTACCACTACTCCGGCAAAGACGACGACGATAACTACAAACTACTACCGACGAAAAGTACCACTTCTGCTTTTGTCTCTAGTAAAAACTTTATTTCTAGTAATAGTGGTGGTAGTGGCAGTGGTAGTGGCAGTGGTAGTCGCAGTAGTAGTAGTAGTAGTAGTAGTAGTAGTAGTAGTAGTAGTAGTACTAGTACTAGTACTAGTACTACTAGTAGTAGTAGTAGTAGTAGTAGTAGTAGGAGCAGAAGTAGTAGCAATAGTAGCAGCAGCAGTAGTAGTTGTAGTAGTAGTAGTAGTAGTAGTAGTTGTAGTTGTTGTTGTTGTTGTAGCAGCAGCAGCAGCAGCAGGAGTAGTAGTAGTAGTAGTAGTAGTAGTAGTAGTAGCAGCTAGGGTACTGTACTAGTACCAGCCAAGGTTCAGCTCTATGCGAATGTCCTGGCACTCTTTTAGCACCTTGGCGCTCTCGCGCTGTAGGACCTCGATGAAGCGAGCTCAAAACATCAGAACATGCGGTCTGTGAGCCTGCCATCTCAGGCAACCCGAAGCCACTATCTCAAGGAGGGCAGCACAATTCAAGATCCTTGGGGGGATCAGAAGCACTGAAAAGACACAGGTTCGTGCGACCGTTGCTTTTGGAGCCTCAGGCCTCCAAACCGACACGTAGTCGAAAATTTGGGGTGGAATTGGCACCGATGTCGGGGTGCTGTTGCTGCCTGCCTTGCCTTCTCACTCTTGCGAAATCTTGACTCACAGTCTTAATTTGGCACTGCCGCATCGTACGAACAAAGCAAGCGACTCCCTATCCGTGCCAATTGCGTTCTCCCTCTCGGGCACAGTCGGGGATGTTTGGTTTAATTTGTACCCATACGCTTCGCTGACTGAGTCACACTGCACGGAAACTGCGAACAGCATACTTGGTCTACGTGAATTAGGCTTCATGCACCCATGATGACCTGATGTCTGAATTGGATGTCCGAGGAACAACCATGTCAAGAGCACGAGCATGCCCCTTGATTTGGTTCAAGCCCTGGCAAAACTCCGCGATGGTGATTTTCCCGTCGCCATCATCCAGGATCTCGAACAAAGGGCGACAATCCGACACTTTTAGATCCAGGATGGCCAGGTATCGCTGAACACTTGGGAGGCTCAGTGCCCGGATGAACTCTTCTGCAGAGAGCCAATCGTTACCATCGTCGTCAACGGCGCGAAAAAGGTCTTCCAACTTTTCCTGGTAATTCTTGGCAGCGCGCCGATTTTCTTCTATCTGCATGTCAGCGTCGTTGGCAGCACTTGCCAGCGTCTCCTTGCACGACATGCTGTGACGCACGCGAGCACGAGGGATCTAAACAGCTCAAACTGATATGGACGAAACGCATTTCTCAACACCCTGGCCTTGAGAAAGAGGGCCGTCACTACTCGTATCACAGCAAAAACCACCAGAGTAATGTATCCCAAGAATGGGATGCAATACCAAGGGCTGACTTTGTCAACGACCGGCCGCACTCTCGTAGGCCAGCTTCCGGCATGTGTCACCTCGAACATGGTGTAGAGAGCCTTCAGGAAACTGCCGTACAACCAATTCATCTCCAGGCGGGTGTCCATATCATTGCTTTCATCTAGAATGTAGCTTTGGAGTGCCTGGCAGATAATGAGTGAAAATCCGAGCTTGATGAGGAAGAGCATGACCATGGACCAGAAAAGGGCTCCGATGCTGGCCACGCATGTCGTCACCAATAGGCGAAGCTGCCGAAACAGTGCAACCTGAGGCGTAACACCCCGAAGTCACATTAAAATGGACATGGAGACCGGGCTGAAAGCTCGTCACGGCACCTCTGCACGGCGACTCAAAGGCATGTAAGAAATCTAAACCTCGGGAAAGGCCCAAACCATCCCAACCTGTTTGTAGCACCGGCAAGCAACCCGACGATTCCTACTGAAGAACGATTCCTACTGAAAGAGTGAATGACTCCATCAGCTTGCCAATTTGACCAAGCCACCGTCTTCACGATGCGGAGCGTCCGCACAATTCCTGCAGCTTCAACTCTGGTATATCTGACAACGCTCGAGTATCAAGGCCTGAAAGCAAAATCCCACGATGCTCCAAGATCTAGTTGGCAAAGCCTGACGAAGCTGATTCCAAGAGTCGTAGCAATTTAATGGCCCGGACGGTGCTTGCGCGCTGATCTGAGTCTCCGGAGAAAAGCCTGAGACTTGGTTATGATTGGATTGTCGGCACTCACAACTTCAACGAATCCGCCTAGGGTGTCGTAAGGTTTTGGACTCATGGCCTCTTCTTGCCTAGCTGGACCTGAACCACACGACGGATTCAGGAGAGGAGCAAAAGGAGCAAGATGCCAAGCACGACTGCAACCCTGTGGGCGGAGAGATACTTTTTATACTGCAGGACTCCTCCCATGAGCACAAGAACCGACAATGCAAGTTCAGCGCTTTGGGATGCTTTATTCCACACTTTGGCCCTGGCTCTTGCAGTACTCGGATGAGCCATGACTGGGAAGGCAATTCTGCAAACGAACTTCACCTCGGCGTACCGGAGCGGTCAGAGGCTCCCTCCTTGCCCTCCACTTCTACCTTCTTTCCCCTCCTCCTTTTTCTCCCCTCCCCACCCCCCCCTTACGAAACAAAAAGATTGGATTTGACCGTGGGGAATTCGAGAAGCCGGCAGATGCTTCCCCATCCCTACACCCGGCCTTTTCCCCCACCGTCTCCCTTCGTCGTCTTACTGCACCTGCGACGGGGCCATACGGGGCCGAGGCAGACGATGCGAAGCGTTTACAATAAGACTTGTTCAGAAGGAAAAACGCGGAGGATCTGCCGACAGCACGCACTGCCACCGGCCAAGAAGATCCCAGGCTCGGAAGGACATGTAACAACCAAGCTACAGATTCTCGTAAATCGTAACATTCATTTGCCGGCTTCCCTGAACCCCCCATGCGAGTGGGTCGGGTTTCGGGGTCATTGAAGGAATGCTTTGCGTGCTGAGATGGGGACACAGGGAGGAGCAGGAGCTCGAAGCCGTGCACCAAGACCAGGATCGCATCAAACATGTTCATGTACATGATACCCTCGACCTCGTCGAAATACCACTCTTTGCGCAACACGAGCATGCGAACAAGTACGTCGATCAGGTACACGGCGAAGAAGATACCCTCAATGATGTCAAATGCGGGTGCCACGGTGACGATTTCAGGTGGAGCCAAGCCGAGGCTCACCTGAGTATACTACCCATTATTAAATTAAGGGGCCCTATTATAGTGCCCTATCGTAGCCTTAAAGGGGACTCTATTATAGTACCCTCTAGTACCCTATATAAAAAGGTATAACGCAAAGTGTTCGTCGAGCGGATAGTCAACGACAGCAGCCGCAATGGCATTAGGTGAGATTACAGTACATTCACACGCGCCTTAGTACAACAAGAGAATGCCTCCCTATCACTACATACATACACACACAATACATAGGGCCCGCCTGTCAAGGCTGGGAGGGGTAACCAACTACAAGCTACCCAAAGCACTCCAAAACAACTATTATTGTTATACTATACGCTTGTATAGTATCGCCTGATAACGTATAGTGTCGCATCGCAACGTTCAGTATAGCACAGTACGTATCATATCGTATAATATCGTATTGTATGCCGTATAGTATCGTATAGCAGCGCATGATACCGCATTGTCTCGTGTCGTTGTGTGCTGTTTGCGAAGGTGAAGGACCGTTGTGGAAACTATCCTTTAGCATCTTCTTGAGATCGGCCTCATCCGTAGCTGAGGCGGCGAACTTAGCGACGGCATCAATACCGTTGCTGTGTAGCTTTTGTTAAGTATCGTATCGCTTTGTAATGTATTGTATAGTAAACCATACTATACCATATTCTATTGCATTATACTATATTGCAATTAAATGTGCTACATTAATTGTGTTAGATCTGGAGAATTCCAGACCCTGGGTATTTTCGGGCTCATGTAAACTTTGTCTTAGAAAGATATGTGACAGGGAGATATATTAGAACAATCAGTGTAAAACAAAAACAGGCATGTGTTGCAACGCGCTCTGCGGATTTTCTATACTTATACTCTGCTGTTGGAAGAGTCGCATCTGCTTCATGACCTGTGATTTGCGCCACGGCAGCCATCATGCCCAGGTTCACTAGCACGACGATGCCAAGGTACCCATCCTGGTCGGTTTTGGAAAATAGAACCGGTACGAACAGAAACCTTGAAGCAACAAGTGTACCACTACATCTGCTACAGTTTTTCTTTTACTCAATAGCCAAAATTTGGCTTGTGCTCTTTGCCCGGGAGCGGGACTTCTCAGTGGGAAGAACACGGGAAACTCTTCGTTTTTAGATTGACCAGAGCTTCGGCTTTCCGACTGTTGGTGGGCTAAACCGAGCCCCAACATCAACGACCGCCAAAGCCTCACGAGGCCGCAAGTCAACTGCAGCTGAGCCTCCAAGGGGCCCTTCACAAATTTCTTCAAGGCTGACACCTCTTCTGCTTGCATTTCGCGCATCGTAGCCTTGCCCAGGCCTCAGAAAGGAGTTGTCTGTGTCATGTCGAGGGTCGGGGGCTCCTAAAGCCATGGTGGGGTCCTTCGGACTATCGCCAAGTTCAGCCTCGCGACTCTTGGTCTTCTTCGTCGCTCGTCGCTGTAGTTCTTGAGACTCGGTGGGCTGCAAGTCTTGTGACTCGGTGGAGTCCTCGACAGCGATCAGCGCGCAGCCATGTCTTCCATGCACTGGCAGTCACTAGCAGCACTAGCAAAAGACACGCACCGCAAGCCCAGACACTAATCAACCAGAACCTGGGCGTCGTGCATGGGCAGGACTCAACGCTACTCCAGAGTCCTTCGAAGGCCTTCAGGAGAGGTCCGAATATGTCCGAATCGTGCCTAGACGAAATAGCCCCTATAGGCCTTATAGTGGACCATCACCTCGGAAGGCTTACTTCAGCAGCCAGTCTCCGATAGACAGACAGCTTCTCATAGGTCAGATTCACCAACAGCTTTCAAGACAAGACACATCGAGACGCACGGATCGTACCACAAACACGCACGCAAGTTCACAGGTTCAGACGAGTTGGGGTAGAGTTACCACAGCAGCGATGTACATGCTTCTGTCTGCCGCAGGGGAACTGTCCCTAGATTCGAGCTTGCAAAAGACCCTGAAGAATTCGTCCTGTGTGTGGTTGACGCTCACAAAGCCGTCACTTTGGGGGCTAGGTGGTGCTTCGCTGGCAGCCGCTGGAGGACTACCATTCCTGAGTTTCGGCCGAACACTCAATGACTCGATGGCAGCTTGCAGGTTGTAGAACGGTTTTGTAGAGTCTGGCTTACTGTCTACGAGTGAGTCATGTGTTGAATCACGCCATCTTTAGCTGCATAAGTCTGGCAGGACATCCACGAGACACGGGTTCGGATTAATGCTGATGTTTTCGAATCTTGGTCGCTCTGTATCATGGAGCGGAGACCGAAGGTTGACGAAAGTGCGTACCTTTGGCGAGAAAACTGATGGCTTCTCCCGCCGAGGACATCGACCAAGTCTAAGGAACCCTCATACATGCGCTGCAGTGCGTCCGTGCTATATACATACAACCCGTCTAAGCGGCTGACATCCCTCAGCCCTGAATCACGATCATACCCTACACGACATGAAATGCCGGACTGTAGCCCAAACCCATCGGAAAAAACGAGGTTCAACGCACCACCTGCATCTCCAGCTGTAAGCGCATCGTAGAAGGGCTTGGCTGGAAAATGCTGATGGCTCTCCAACCTTATCTGCCCAAAAAACAATAGGTAGGTGTACGTACGCGCAGGCACGTGCGCGCCCCTGTGTGCGAGAAGCGGGTGCATGGGGGTCGGTGCGTGAGCATGCTGCACTTTGTGCGCGCATACCCTTCTCCCTAGCAGGTCCTCATCCCGAAAATGCAAGTGCTGCTTCAAATCAGTAGAGAAGCAATGCGCGGATAATTGCCTCTTGCTGTCGAAACTTGATGTCTAGCGCAGTCAGAAACCACTGCTGCTCATCAGACCATTCCGTCTTCTCGCTTGCCACAGGGCGTGGCATGCCGACGCTCCGGGCTCCGGGCGAGGCTTCGCTGAAGCCCTTGCTCCCTGGATTTCAAAACCAAGTTCGGTCTTTGACAGGGCACCCTGCCGTCCTGGGAAGCTTGAGCCTGAAAAATACTTATCCTCTCCGAGTCAAAAGCGACAGGTCTAAACGTTCTCGGCACTCGCGCGTGTCTGCCGAGTATCTCTATAACAGTGTGCCCATTTGCTCAACGATCTGTGCTTGTCGACGGGCAACAACAAGACCACAGGCTACCTTTTTGGGTTTGCGAATGCGTGACTGCAAGATCCTACGTATCCTGCCAGGTGAAACATACCAGATCATAGCTGGTGTGTGTGTGTGTGGTCATGACATGTCATGCCGTGAAAAGCGTTTCTGACTCTCCGGAAGCTGCGCTGAGGCCAGAGGCCACACTGCGGAGCATCCTCGGTAAAGTTCTTTGGATGCGGTCAATGTCTTTCCGAATATGATGGCACTCTGCTAAGAGCTTTGCATTCTCCCGCTGCAAGATTACAATGTCCACCGCGCGAGCTTGGCCCTTGATTTGAGAGAGGCCCTTCACAAACTCGGCGATGGTTATAAGCCCATCTCCATCATCCAAGATGTCAAACAACGGCCTGCAGTCTTGAATGCTCATGTCCAAGGTCCTCAAATAGTGCTGCACACTAGGAAGGCTCATTGTCTCCACGAACTCCTCCCTTGAAAGGTTGCCATCACCGTCATCATCGGCCAAGCGGAACAGTTCTTGGAGCTTGTAGTGATAGTCCTGAGCCGTGCGTCGAGCATCCTCCATTACCATATCAGCATCATTCGCTGCACTGGTCAGAGTCTCCTTCAAGAAAAGGGCGGTTACGATCTTTATCACTGCGAAGACAACGAAAGTTACATAGGCGAGGAAAGGAACCGAGTACCATGCATCGACTTTTTCGATGACAGGCCTCACGCGAACAGGCCATGAGCCTGAAAACGTGATTTCGAACATTGTATATAGCGCCTTGGCAAAGCTTCCGTAATACGAATGCATTTCCATGCGTGTTTCAAAGTCTGCCTGCGTGTCCAGAATGAAAAGTTGTAGAGCCTGGCAGATGGCCAAGGCAAAGCCAATCTGCAGCACGATTAAAAGGACCATGGACCAGAACAACGCCCCGATGCTGGCGAAGCAAGTTCCAACCAGAATGCGCAACTGACGGAAAAGAGACACCTCCAGGATCCGCAATCAAACGTGAGGTGACATGGACTTTACACAGGCTATACAGGTATTCGGAGCGTTTGACAACTGAATCGTTCCAAGGTTTCCAGACAAAGGGAGTGTCATGACAAGAACGACATGGATGTGGCTATGGTGTCTCATCAAGTCTCTCGGACGACTACCACTACAACTACTACTGCTACCACTACCACTAC